TAGAAGAAATAACAGTATTTTTATATTTTTCAAGGACTAGTCTTATTAGTTCTGGGCCAATCTTACTAGATTATTAAGTCGCTTGTGTGCCACTGGACTCTGGCTCAGGCACAAGCTGCCAGTGTAACCATTCTGGGTCTGTCAGCTTTGCCTTTAGGTGTGCTGCCCCCGTAAACTCTGTGATTTGAAAGGGACCTGGAAAAGAAAATTTTTGTTATCTAGTTCTTGGTTCCCGGGTTCATTTCTCAAGACTCACTGTGCACCTTGTTGGTCACCCAAGGAATATGGGGTGAGCCTTGATCTTACATAGCCTGTTCCTTAACTCTTATTTCAGGGACGAAAAAGCTTAGCTCAGTCAAAGATGTGTTGAAGTCCCGTGGCACTATTCTGCATTCTTTTGGATCCTTGTTAGTGTTTTGTTCTTGGTTGGTTATTATCAGTGAAAAAGCACCTGGATAAAGCCAAATATGGTGGTCTTCTTTGCATACAGGAAGAGCTTACCTTATTTGTTTAGGTAAAAATCAGATTTAGGGACAAGGACTGAACATGGAGCATAGCTATTTCTTTTTATTTTTAGAATCATAGCAAGAAGTTAAGAAGGGTGACTTACTTAAATTTTAGGGAATCATGTTCATGCTTATCCTGATTAACATCTTAGCTGACAATTACTGAGTACTTACACTGTCTTAGAGCTTGTACTGAGCTGGTCTTTGCATGTATCATCCTATCTAATCCCCACAAGAGCCCCATAAAATGGCCTTGAGGAACTGTTGCAGCAGCTAGCGCTCTGAGTGAAGTGCTTTGCCTTTAGTCTCTCTCTTTAAACACAGCTATATGACTGAAACCCACCATATTGTATCAATAACATTAGATTTACTTTGCTTTTGGGGCCCGTGGTTTAATATGACATTATGCATATACCATGTAGCACTGTTTAAACTGTATGGTGGAACTGCTTGGCATCTTTCCAGCTGAACTTTTGAGATGAGTGGCCAGTGCCAGACAAACACTAAATAGAAATTTTGGAATAAAAATGAAGACAAATGAGTAAGTTAATCAGCTCTCTAGTCCTGACAATTATAGCTTAAAGGTAACTTATATCACCCCCTTCCCTTTCCTTTTGTTTGAAGGGACTCAGGCATTTGTTTTTCCTAGGCAATGGAAAATCACATGAATACAAAGGGTCTTCACATTTCTCTCCAGTTATGACTACTCATTTGTTCCTTCTAGTGTTGATGTCATGAAAGTGTCTTTATTCTCATCATAACTCAAGAATAAGTCAAAGGCAGATTCTGAGTCAAAAAGAGCTCAATACTTCAGCCTTAGACCTTCCCAGAAAATTTTCTACATGAAACAGACCTACAGATGGCTAACAGCAGGAGCTGCTTATCCAAGAAACTCCTTGGTAGACTCCTCTGTAAAACCAGTCCCGGCGCCATGTGTCTAAAGATTTTTGCCTGCTTTTTTGTAGCCAGCAGATAAGGATCAGGTTCTATTTGTACAAAATAGAGGCTCAAAATTGCTTCTCTTATTGGAGATGATTGCTGTGCCCTTCATTGCACATCTTGTATTACTTGTTCAGCCTTAGTGATGAGTGTGGGGAGGGGGACAATTATCAAGGTAATTATGGTATCACTACCCAATCATTTCCCTGGGTTACAGTGACTTCCAAATCCTTCCATTTTCCTTAGAGACAGAATCACTTGAGTGGCTTCCTCTGTGACTTTTGCTGCTTGCTTCATGTGTCAACACTGTACTTGAGAAAAAATGCCCAAAGCAAGTCTCTGTAAATTCCATCTCTGTTTTAACTGAGATTAAAAGGAACTTTCTTTTCTTCAGTTTTTAATGAGACATTGATATCATATACTCATGTATTAGATAATGAAAAACACATTTACTCATAAGAAAAGCTGACAAAAGAAATGATTAGTAACCAGTTTTAAGAACCTTGTGTTCCTTGGTCACTGCAAGGTGTGAGAGTAGACGAAATGCAGACACTGGAAACAATCTTTCCAAAGACTTGTTCGGAAAGATTTGTTGCTTGAGGGTGTAGTAGATCATGTGTTTGTTATCTTCAGAAGATGATTGCTAATCCTTTCACTTCTTCATATCAAGTTTAATGAAGGGGTTCCCATGGAATCACTCAGAAAGAGTGCAATGTGTTCCTTGCTATTAGGAGACCTAGAGAAGTTGAGAAAACTATAGCCACTCTGGAAGCAAGAAGATATTTTCTGCTTTCAGATAATCCTTAACTCTTAGAGTTCATGGAGACAAAGGACGTATGATAGTTTCTTTTGTGTGAAGTGGGGCCATATAGAAGAAAGATCTAACAAACAATGATCTTGCATTCTGTGAAGAAAAAAAAAAAAAGACAGGAAGACAGAGGATTTCCAAGAGCAAAAAAACAAGATATGACAGCAAACCTGAAGACATATGCAAAAAGTTGCAAATGATCAATAAAGATAAATAATATCTCTAACTCATAATTTAGACCTGACCAATAGTTATTTTAGATCATGTGAAAAAAAGTCTTAAGGGCAGAGAATTGAAGAGCAGATCCTAAGTGACATATAAAAAGTTGCAAATGATTATCAAACATAAATGATACCTGTAACTTAGATGGAATTGGGAGAGGGATACTAGGTTATCAACCTGAGATAAAAAAAATGTAAAATTCTAAGGAATGTATTGCAGAAAGAATAATTATTGTTGGGAGACACCCGTATTCAGATGACATGGACTTATTAGAATATAAACTCCACAAACGCAAGCAATGTGATTATTTCACCACGTATAACATTTTCAGCAGCTGGCATAGTGCCTGGAATGGAATAGTGGTTCAATAATTAATTGAACAAATGGGTTCTACTATTTGATTGCACTGACTTCATTTCTGGAATTTGCTTAGGTCTGTTGGCAGAGGGATTGTTAAACTAAAATGTCCTATCGTTGAATGCTTACACAATGTTAAGGCAAACAGTATATTCACATGTTCTTGGGGGAAGCATTTGTTATATGAGAATAGACAGATCTTTCTAGCATTCACACTGCAAGTTTATGGAAAGATGCTTTATATTAAGAGATTGTAAAACTTACCTGAACTCATGTGGTAGAAACTGGAAACAAATAACTTTCCTATTGCTAGAACCCCTATCTAATTAGATTGATGCTTAGTTGCAAAACTTCCTAGGTACTTCGTGCTCTTTTCTGTCTTTGTCTGTTCGTTTGTCTTTTTGAGACAGAATCTGACTATTCAGTTCAGGCTGGCCTTGAGCTCACTTTGTAGCTCAGGCTGGTCTCAAACTTGCAGTGATCCTCCGGCCCCAGCCTCCTGAGTGCTGGAATTTCAGGCACCATGCCCGGCTGCACCTTCCTGTCTTGATCTATTTCCATATTCTCTCATTTCTTGATCTTTTGGCTGCCTTTTAGTTGAATCTGGCATCAGAACTTTGAAGTAATCATTTTTATTGCCATTCTGATGCTGTGTTGGTTGCTATCTTTTAAAATTTCTCTTGTATTCTTGCTCTGTTATTTGGGGGCAAAACCTGCCTTTTTGTCCATTTGCACCCAAAATTCCCTCTGAGGTCTCAGGGGAGGCAATTCCTGTTATCATTTTTTCTTTCCTTTTTTTAAATTTTATTTTAAAGAGGGTAAAGCTAAACACAACAAAACAACAAAGCCAATTGGAAGAAAACAGATCATCACTGTCTATCATATTGTCTCTTGTTTTCTTCTAAATAGTTGTCCATATCTTCACACACAATGAATTCATACAAAACAAAATAGTATTTTACTGGTCAGAACAGAGTCATAAAGGCATTATAGTCCTTCAAAACTAGACAATAGGGAAATCAACAATGGCTGCCATAATGTCTTTCATTCTCTTCAAAATAGCTGTCTGTTTGTCACTTTCTTGCCCAACACCTAGAACTTAAAGGAAGAGAGGTTTATTTTGGCTCGTGTTTCCACTCCATGATCTGCTATATCCAAGACAGGAAGTGCATGGTGGAAGAGTTTGGTGGAAGAAAGCTACTCACATCATTGCAGCCAGAAAGCAGAGAGAGAAAGGAGGAGCCAAGGAGGGAGAGAAAACTTTCCAGGTCATGTCCCTATAACTCACTTCTTCTGATCTGATCCAATCTCTTAACAGCAAGCCAGGTAAAATGCCCCATGACACAATCACCTTCCAAAGGTCCAACTCTAACCACGTGAATCTTTTGGGGGACATTCCAGATCTAAACCATAGCATCTGCATTTTGAGAATATGCTAGGCACTATAAAAACCACTATGACTAATACGTTCTGCAAGTATTTTGCAGTGTTAAAATTAGCAAGTCACTTGGTGTACTGAGATGCATATGAAATGCAAAGGAGAGGTAAGTGAATTAGGTTACAGAGGGCAGACTTGCAGGAGGAAGTTTAAATTATATACTGTGAGAAGAAAGGACCCATAAGTGGATTTTAAACAGGGGATTAATGTGAGCAGTATTCAGATTATAACATGTTCTTGGTGACATCGGGGCAGCATTATGAAAACCAAGACTTTCACAGTATTTTTGGGATTTGGGGCCATAAAATCATACTTTTCTTCACACAAAATGGCTTCATTTTCTTATACATTTTTACTTTTCATTCCTATTCTTCTAGTTTTTCCCCCATCTCATTACTTACTGTCAAGTTCTCAACTATTGCTTACTTATCTCATTATAGCTGTTTCCCTAGAGCAACCTCAGACTTCTTTTTGATTGATTTGTAGTTGGAAAAACAAATAGAAAAATTTGTGTTGCAATTCTACACAGACTTTGAGTTGTTATTAAAATGGATATTAGTGGCTTATAAGTGCTGCCCCACTCATTAAATGCTGTGGCTTTGTGATATCTTTCTGTTACTTAAAGCTTCCCTTCTCTGCATTTTATAATCTGACTTTTGTGGACAATGACACACCAATTACCAAAAAAAAGCAGATCTAATAGAGAGTGTTTGGGACTCTGACAAGTGCAGATGGCATAACACAACCATTTTATTAGGCAGAAATATAGATGGGAAATTCAAAAAAGCACTACAGGTAAAGGCTCTGGTATCCAGAGGCTTTGAGAAGATCTCTCAGGTGTTGGTCATTTCATTTTCAATAGCTTCGGTCAGTGTTAGACCTCAGTCCCACACTCGAGGTTTGATGATGACATAGTCATTCAACTCATAGTTCAGAGCCTGCCAGTTCAGGATACTACCATTGACATAGGACCCATAATACACAGCCTGGACGTCATCTGGAGACAGTACAGAGTCCCACATGTACACGTCCCCAATCTCTCCTAAAAATGACTGACCTCGATCAAACTTTCCTCCATAGGAATCCTGCTCCTGCCCCAAGATAATCTTGGGGTGAGCTGCCACAGAGTACCCCCTCTTCAGACCTTTTTTCACCAAAGGCTTCCCATTGATCCAAAACTCAGCAATGCCAGAGGAGGACTCCCAGCTGGTACAGATATGCACTGGAGCTAGAATCTCTTCGGGAACCCTGGCTGTGACTTTGGTCCCTCCAATGTACAGACTGTATTCTCCAAGCTTTTCTTTATAAATGAGTAGCTCATTATCCTTGCCTGGGGTGTTGTAGGAGAAGAGGCTGTAATGTCGAGAAAGATCACTATAAGCTCGCAAACACACGGTAAATTCCTGCAGAGGTGTCTCCAATTTTGTTATCAGATTCACGTGATCACTGGAAGATTCTCTAGGGAACACAAATACCTTCTTGTCGAGGTCTGTGGGGGGTAACATAAGACATGCAATGACTTTTACCTTAGAGAAACAGCATCCAGGTTTAACCTCTTTTCTCATTTCAGGCCCCTTGGTTATCTCTGAGCTTCCTACCTGTCTGAGCAAAGACATCCAGGAAGATGGTAAAGACAGAGACCCAAAAAAGCATCTTGTCCATGTTCTTGGGCTGGGGCCGTGACAGCAGCAGCAGTGACAGCACAATGTAGGAGGCAGCACAGTGGCTGTTCACTCAGCTCTGAGGTTCATAGTCTAAGATCCCAGGTGGTATTTGCCCCTGGGTTGAGGATGGGAATGGAAAGCACCAGTAATGTGTGAATGATTTTCTAGACTCTCCCTCCTGATGCCAGTAATCAGAGCTGCTGATGAAGAAAGAATAATGAAGTCTTGGGCTGGGAAATCAATTGCAGTTAATTATTAGATATAAGTGATGGTCATGTCTGTGACCCAGCTTTGTTGCTGGGAAGAGGGTGGCTGCAGAGTTGCAGCCCTGTGGATGGGCTGAGGAGTTGAACTGGTCACAAGGGGGATCTCACTTCATTCGCCAGAGGTTTCTTCATCTTGTGGCCCTGTGTTCTTCCAGGAGCTCCCGGGTTACGTGGAGAGTCTTCCTAGACCAGTTCTCTCATGTGTTGTAGAAATGAGACTTTGTCTAGTTATATGAAGTAGTGTTCTCTTAGCAGAATATTAAGGGATTCTGTTTTCTGCCATTTACCTTGAAAATTCCTATGTTTGATTAATCAAGAACATTGCCTAAGGGAAAGAGACAGTTACTGTACAAACTTTGACCTCACTGAGGCTTTTTAAATTTAATTTTATTTTTTGGTATGAATCTTTTTTTTTTTTTTTTTTAGTATTGGGGATCAAACTCATGACCTTGTACTTGCTAGGCAGGCGCTTATGCCGCTGAGCTAAATCCCTTGCCCTCAATTTTATTTTTTTGCTACTGTTAACTCAGCTCTAGTTTTCTTTTGAATATCATGATGCTGTCTCATCCTAGGTTTTCCACTTCTCATTGTGACTTTTTCTGGTGACATGTTCACTACCTTGCAGAGGCGTTGGCATTTCACCCAGTTTTCATCTCTTCTTTGAGCCTTTCTTTCGGGCATTGAGGCATTTAGTCAGTCTTTGCCGGTGACTCCACTAATGCATTACAGTCACATTTGCTTACTAATTTGCAGGCACTCTAGGGGCCGGGGACTCAGTGGTGACTGACCCTCACGGGACTTCAGGGACTTTCATTTCAGTTCTCTCTATTGTCATTTTATCAATCATCACTCAAGCCCATTCTGCCTCTCAGATCTCAAACTGCTGTCTCCTTTTTCATTTATGTTATCTTCCTTCTCTTTCACTCATAATTCTATGGAATCTTCATTGTCATCTTTGTGTTTACTTTCTTATTCATTCTCTCTTTTCTCAGCCTACTCCAGGCCTTCTGATCGGCTTTTTGCACCGATATGGTAATTGACGCTAATAATTCATTACTGTTCAAATTATCCTTCATATTTTCATCTCTGGGTAGGTTCCATTCTTAATTTTTTTTCTCTCTGAGCTGAATCCAGGATGTGAAGCATTATTTGACTTGTTGTCCAACAGGGAAGAGTGTTGGAATTATAATTATACAACCTGTCACATTCTGAATTAAATACAGATCATTCTGCTTGGAAGCCAGTGTTGTTTGCAGTTTTGCTCCAACCTGGCTGTAATTTCTTAATCAAATCCTATTCTCTAGTTGAATACCTCTAATTGTTCTTCATTGATGTCTGACTTTCCTGATTTTGATACTTCTAGTTATTATTTATATTGTGTTGAAATTCTCTCTTATCTTTCTGTTTCTTAAAATCCTAACCAATCTTTAAAATTAATCTTGAAAGTGATCTACCTTGTGAAGACTTTTCTTTATTTTTTATTTTATTTTTTTGACATAGGGTATTGCTATGCAGTTCAGGCCTTGAACTCACTACGTAGCCTGGGTTGGCCTTGAATTTGTAGCAATCCTCCTGCCTTAGCCTCCCAAGTGCTGGGATTATAAGCATGTATCACTATGCCTGGCATGAAGATTTTTATGGTATCCCCACTAGAAACATTGTTTTAACCTATTTTAAATTCCTCATAAAGTCTTAATCAAAGACTTGGGAATAGATTCCCAGTGTTGTCATTTGTCAGTGGTTGACTATTGTGCATGACACTATAGCTCTCAGGACTTTAGATTCCCTTTGTACAACAAAGATAAAACTATCTACTGCATAGTGTTTGAGGGATGATAAACGGTAAAGTATAATATGCATAAAGTACGCAGAACACTGGCTGGATATTATTAGTAGTATTATCTTTTTAAAGCCTTTTATGGATATTACCATAATCTGCTTCATTTTAAGGATTTTTGCATATTTATTTCTTTTTTTCTCCTTAGACTGAAGATGGTTAAAATTCAGAGAACAACTGCTTCTAGATTTCATCATAAATTAATAAATTACCATTCTGTAGACAAGAAACAATTTTAGGATCAATACAGAAAAGAATATTTTTAAATAAGATCTATGAGAATTGACTGAAAAACATGGTGAATGTTTACATTAAAAATTATTTACTACAACTGGGCATGGTGATGCATGCCTGTAACCTCAGCACTTGGGAGGCTGAGGTAGGAGGATTGCCATGAATTCAAGGCCAGCCAAGGCTGCATGGTGAGTTTAAGGTCAACCTGCACCACAAAACAAGACTCTGTCTTAAAAAACTAAAAAAATTATTACAGTAAAAGTCATATTATCATTTGTACTCCTCAAAATACTCCCTGTCACTTTAGTCATATATGTACTAGATCATTCTTGGCATTTTCTAGAGCAGTCTTAAAAGTCATTTTTCATGACTGTCTTTAGTTGTGTTGTCATGGCTTCCTGGATGGCCTGTATCAATTCTAAATATGTGCCTTGTATGTTCATTTTTATCATGAGGGAAGAGCCATAAAACATGCAATGCTAGATTCAATGGGTAAGGTGGATAAGGACACACCTTAATGCTTTATTTTTTATTTTAAAAAGAAAAAATAACAATAAAATAGAGTTTCAGTTGATTTCTTGATGATAGCCATTCTTTCTGGGCTGAGATGAAATCTCAGTGTTGTTTTAATTTGCATGTTTCTAGTGACCAGGGATATTGAACATTTCCCTCATGTACTTCTCTGCCATTTATATTTCTTCATCTGAGAATTGAGTATTCATCTCAGGTGCTCTTTGCTATAATGAGTCTTTGAATCTGGGGAGGGATCTGGTTTTTTCAATTCTTTATATGTTCTAGATATAAATCCTTTGTCTGTGGGACAACTGGCTGTAACTTTTCCCACTCTGAGTTGTCTTTTCACTCAACTGGTGATTTATTTAGTTGTGCAAAAGCTTTCTCATTAGGTGAGATCCTATGTGTAGATTCTTTGTAATGTTTATCTTTCAGTCTGAATTTTGTTCATGAAATCTCTGCCTACCTACCTATTTTCTCTTCCAGTAAGTTTAGTGTTTCTATTTTAGTATTTAAATCTTTGATCCAGTGACTTTAGTTTAGTGTATGGTGATAGATATGGATCTAGTTTTAGTCTTCAGGATGTAGAAAGCCAGTTTCTCCAGTATCATTTATTAAAGAGGCTATCTTTCTTCCAGCAAACATGTTTGGTCCCTTTGTCAAAGATAAGGTGGCTGAGTTGGGGGGGGGTGCTGACACTGTAACTTCTATTGTACTCCACAGGCCATCAGACCTGTTTTTTTCAATGCCATGCTGATTTTATCACAGTAGCTTCATAGTATAATTTAATATCTGGGATTGTGGTATCCCTCATTTGTCTTTCATTTTTTTGTTTTTGTTTTTGTTTTTGTTTTTGTTTTTTTTTTTGGCCTGGAGTTGCTTTTGCTAGTCTAGGTCTCTTCTGTTTCTGGATGAATTTTAGGAATGTTTTCTCTAGATCTGGGAGGCATGCTAATGGTATTTTGATTGGGATTACATTAAAACTGTGTAAAAAATTTGGAAGTATGGTCATTTTCACTATGTTCATTCTTACCTAAGAGCAAGAGATACTTTCCTATTTTCTGATGTCCTCTTTGAGCTCTGTCTTGGTTACTTTTTATCATTGCTGAGACAAAATACTTGACACCCAAAATGAAGGAAGGAAAGGTTTATTTAGCATACACTTTTTGGAGGTTTTAGTCCATACTCAGCTGGCTCTCACGCAGGGTGGTATAGTTAAGTGGCAGTCATTCAAAGGAAGAAAGCAAAAAGAGCAGAAAGGACAGAAAGAGCACACTTCTTCCCTCTCTTATATTGTATGCCAGCTACCTGCCCCTGAGCAGGTGCAGCACTCATACTACCAAGCCCAGAACTAGGCAATGAACCAATTACAAATGCTAGACTCAGCCACCTCCATGACCGCATGAGGCTTGGGGGTCATCCAAACACAAACCATAACAAGTATCTTTTTTAGGGTACTGTAATTTTGACTATGTGAATCTTTTACATCCTTTGTTAAAATGATTCTAAATATTTCATTTTTTAGATGATATTGAAAAGGGTGTTTACCTAATTTCTCTTTCTGTGAGTCTGTTGTTTGTGTATAGGAATGTTACTGTTACTGTATATTGAATAAAAGTGGTGATAATGGACATCATTGTCTTGCTCCTGATTTTAGAGTAAAAGTTTTCAGTTTTTAAACACTTGATGTGAGGTTGGACATTGGTTTGTCATAGATGGCTTTTTAAGATTGAGGTAAAGATCATCTTTTCCAATTCTCTGTAGGTTTTTCTAATCATGAATGAGTGTTGGACTTTATCAAATGATTTTTTCTGCATCTATTGAGATGATCATGTGATTTTTGTCTTTTGTTCTATTAATAACACAAGGTTTTATGAGCCTGCCTTCTATTTGTTACTTACTGAGCAATAGGATTCAGTGATTTTTTTTGCCCACAACTTGCAGAGACACTTACTAAAGAGGACTTCCAGAATTGCTTCAGAATGTGGCAAGAATGATGTGTTTAAAGTGAGAGGGAGCATTCTAAAGGGCTATTAATGACAACACACCTTTTAGTGTCATAAATTTTTAAATGGAAACATTTGCCCCTGTGGTCACCACTTGTAGGTTCATGGAAATGAACTGGTAGATAAATGAATCTGAAGAGGTTACAGGGAGGATGTTTTGTACTACTGTTAATAGCCTAGTGACTGGGCTTGTAGTTGAACAGGACAGAGTGTTCATATATTGAGAGAAGACAAGTAGGTTGACAAGTAGGATGCATAGGAAATGGGTATGGATTTTTCCTTTAGTTTC